TATTTTGTAATGTTAATTAAAAAATTATGATTGCGGATTTCTATAAAAAGCAACACTTGCAAATTAAAACCATAGTTGTTGTCTACTCTTCAAGCCGTAAAGCAGCTACGATTGTTGTCATGAAGCTAGCTACCGCATTTTTAATTGGTATAACAATATGATAAATAAAGTATTGTACCCAACATTCCAATATACTGTTTCATTTCCAGTTAGTTACTTCCTTATATGCTGCACCGATCTCTGCAGTAGCGTTTCGATTCCTTTATGTGGATGCCCTTCCACCACTACACGATCCGACTGTTTGAGTGGAACCACCAGGAAAGGATCACATTGTCCCGAACAACCAGCCCAGCAAACCCAACCAACTCAACCAAGACCAAGACAAACACAACCAACTCAACCAACTCAACCGACACAACCAACACAACCAACACAGCCAACTCAACCAACTCAACCAACTCAACCAACTCAACCGACACAACCGACACAACCAACACAACCAACTCAACCAACACAACCAACTCAACCAACTCAACCAACTCAACCAACACAACCAACTCAACCGACACAACCAACACAACCAACTCAACCAACACAACCAACACAACCAACTCAACCAACTCAACCGACACAACCAATTCAACCGACACAACCAACTCAACCAACTCACCAACTCAGCCAACTCAACCAACTTAACCAACTCAACCAACTCAACCAACTCAACCAACTCAACCAATTAAATCAACTCAACCAACACAACCAACTCAACCAACTCAGCCACCTCAACCAACTTAACCGATACAACCAACTCAACCAACTCAACCGACGCAACTAACACAACCAACAAGACCAACAAAACTAACGAGACCCATTCGAAGATTTACTCTTTACTACTCATAAACTTATATGTGGTCCTTGTGGTAAACCGTGTGTCGACTGCCCGCAAAATGACCTGCTTTGCCAAAAGCTCCTCACTCATGAGGGATCTTAGGCGTGTGTGCTCTTAAGTCATCGTAGTTTAAGAATATACATGTTTCGTGCCAGAATGTTAGAATGGAACAATTTTTTTAAGAAAAATAACAGGGAAAATCGATCTAAAATTTTGTATATTGGAAATCGTCATCAGGGACCGAAGCGGTATGACTTAACACTTCATGGTACATTTGTTATGCGTTAGTGCCTGATTTTGACTAGATTGAATTAAATGTATTTTCAAAATTTTTTAAAAGTCCATTCAAGTTAATTATTTTTAGCATTTCATTATATAATAGTTTTTCTTCAATCCTATTACTATCCTATTACAAATTTAACTAACTACGATTAATGTTGTTTCACAAAAATATTAAAAAGGAATGCTGCATTTCATATCAGTAAGTTTTATTTCATAACCAAGTTTTTCACTGTGCTTATTGTTAATATCGTCAGGATGTCAATCGGCCCATATTAAATAACTTTTTAAGTACCCGTTTATTAAATACAAATGATGACCTCAGCCTTTGGCCTGATCTCGATTTAAATGACCACTTTGGCTTTCTTCACTTAATGCCTAAGCATAGATAATAATTATTTTAATTTTCTCTCAGATTGACTGCTTCTTTTATATAGCATATTCAATTACTGTGCCTGGGGCAATACCAAATATTAGCTGAACCTGACGTTTGTCAGGAGCACCTTTATTTATTTTCAAGCTTAAGCAGCTTCATATAGCATCGACTATTTGTACAATATTTTTTTTAAAAGATATTTTTACACTGACCCTATTCACTATATTTTCTTATTGAATTTAATTTCATTTTAGTCTCAGAGGATATTAATGCTGCAAAGATAGTATATTTTCAAACCCATGGAATAGAGGTAAATAAAAGGATATCATAATATTTAATTGGGTGGGTATCATAGACCAGCCGAGAATTTCAAGGAATGTTTTTCCCACAGTGTGAGACAGTGTGTGTGTGGGTGATGTTAGTGTCAGCATGTGTGCCTTTGTGTACAACGAAACTTGAATGTCTGTAAAGGCAATTTAGCACTGTAAAGGGGGTTTCGTAGTCGGGCCCTCTGTGAGCTGTTTGCTTGTACTGAAGAATTCCAATTTGTTTTTAGCTTCCTCTGGATAACATTGGTCAAATTGGGCGTATTGCAAATATTGACATATCTATTTTTATACATTTATTTTCAAAACTTATTTATACAATTGTGATCGCGGATTCCTATAAAAAGCAGAAGTGGCCAATAAAAACCACAGTTGTTGTCTACTCTTCAAGTCGTAAAACAGATAAGATTGTTGTCATGAAGCTGGCTACCGTATTTTTTATTGGTATAACAATATAATAAATTAACAAAATATTGTACCCAATATTCCAATATGCTGCTTCAATATACTGTTCCAGCTGGTTACTTTCTTATATGCTGCACCGATCTCTGCAGCAGCGGCTCGATTCCGTTATGTGGATGTCCCTCCACCACTACTCGATCAGACTGCACAAGTAGAACCACCACGAAAGGACCAAATTGTTCCTCACAGCCATCCCAGCCAACCCAGCCAACCCAACCAACTCAACCGACGCAACCCACTCAACCAACTCAACCACCACACTCTCAACCAACCCAACCAACTCAACCAACTCAACCGACTCAACCACCACATACTCAACCTACCCAACCAACTCAACCAACTCAACCGACTCAACCGACTCAACCACCACATACTCAACCTACCCAACCAACTCAACCGACACAACCCACCCAACCACCACACACCCAACCCACCCAACCCACACAACCAACTCAGCCCACTCAACGGCCACATACACAACCAACTCAACCAACCCAACCAACTCAGCCGACGCAGCCGACTCAACCAACTCAACCGACTCAACCAACACAACCGACACAGCAAACGAAACCCACGCAAGGACCTATTTGTGGTCCTGGTGGTAAGCCGTGTGTCGACTGCCCGCCAAATAACCTGCTTTGCATAAAGCTCCTAACTCATCTGAATGATCTTAAGCGTATGGTGGAACGATGTGTCTGTGGTTAAAATTTTAATTTAATATAGTTTTGGGTTACACATGTTTCGTGTCAGCCGATCTGGGGTAGAATTTTTTGTTTTTTTAATTTTTAGCATAACAGGGGCAAAATCAATATGGAATTTTTTATAATGGTAATCGTTATCAGGCACCGAAGCGGTATGACTTAACACTTCATGGTACATCTGTTATGCTATAGTGCCTGATTTTGATTAGTTTGAAATAAATGTATTTTCAGAATTTTTTTAAAAGTCCATTAATAGTCAATTAATCTTAGCATTTTATTAAATAATAGTTGTTTTTTTTTGCAATTCTATTACTATCCTATTCCAAATTTAACTAACTACGATTAAAGTTGTTTCAAAAAAATATTAAAAAGGAATGCTGCATTTCATATCAGTAAGTTTTATTCCATAACCAAGTTTTTCACAGTGCTTATTCTTAATATCTTCGGGCTGTCAATCTGCCCATTTTAAATAGCCTTTCAAGTACCCGTTTATTAAATACAACTGATGACCTCAGCCGTTGGCCTGATCTCGATTTAAAAGACCCCTTTGGTGTCACAAATAGAAACGTTGCCATTTTTAAACCCTGAACCCATCGAAAATGGGTAAAAGGGTATAATGTTTTTGTGTAAAAGTAAATGTATGTAACAGGCAGAAAGAAGCATCTTTGACCCCATAAAGTGTATATATTCTTGATCAGCATCAATAGCCGAGTCGATCCAGCCATGTCTGTCTGTCTGTTGATCGAGTTTATTTACAATATTCGATAACCTGACCCGTTTCCAAGAAATCGATCAAAATCGATATTGAAATTCTTTTTTATTTATTTTTTTTTTTTTGCTAATTGGGTAAATAATAAGAGAGTGAATCACCAAACTTGTCATGTTGCACCTAAAATAGTATATATATATCATGTATCTTTAAAGTAAATAAACCAGTTTATGCTGCCCACCAATATAAGCCACAATTATATAATACACGAATATTCTATAGTAAAATAAGATCCACAAATCTCATCAAAATCTTTTGAGAAACGCAGAAGATATTAAATAAAACATTTTGGAGGAATTTCTGTATACATGTACACACACACATTCAAGCGCATTTTTTTTCTTTCTATCAGCAGCATTGCAATTGCGATTGCGCTGTTTTCTGTGCTGCTGTTAAATTTCGTTGGTTTCTCGGTAAAATTTAATTATTGGTTTGGCTGTAGTTTTAATTAATTAATAATTAATTTCATTTATCTTTATTTTAACAAAAGAGCGCGTAACGCGGGCTGCATTTGATGTTGGCAGATGGTTCAGGGTATCCCCTGAACAGGAGCTCCCGACTAGAACCTTTTGTTATGCTTTTATTTATGCCAAGCATAGAAAATAATTATTTTAATTTTCTCTCAGATTGACTGGTTTGTTTATTTAGCATTTTAAATTGCAATTTTAGTTGTCTCAGAGGATATTAATGCTGCAAAGATAGTATATTTTTTTAAACCCATCGAATGGGGGTAAATAATAAAAGGGTATCATGAAATTCAATTGTATCAATGTGGGTAATACAACATTTTACTCATTCGGATGGGTATCATAGACCAGCCGAGAATTTCATAAAGATTGGATTAAAAACAGCGAAGTTATTCAGGAATGTTTTTCCCACAGTGTGAGACTAAGTGTGTCTGTAGGTGATGTAAGTGTCAGCATGTGTGCCTTTGTGTACAACGAAACTTGAATGTCTGTAAAGGCAATTAAGAACTGTAAAGGGGGTTTCGTAGTCGGGCCCTTTGCGCAATTAGTGGCTGGGGTACTTAGTATAGGCGAGTTGTTTCTTTGTACTGAACAATTCCAATTTGTTTTTATCTTCCGCGGTTAAAATGGGAGCGTTGCAAATATTTACATAAATAATTATTTTTTACATATATTTTGAAATCTTATTTATACAATTGTGATCGCGGATTCCTATAAAAAGCAGCACTTGCAAATTAAAACTATAGTTGTTGTCTACTCTTCAAGACGTAAAGCAGATAAGATGGTTGTCATGAAACTGGCTACTGTATTTTTTATTGGTATAGCAATATAATAAATTAACCTAGTATTGTACCCAACATTCCAATATACTGTTTAATTTCTAGTTAGTTACTTCCTTATATGCTGCACCGATCTCAGCAGCAGCGCTTCGATTCCTTTATGTGGATGCCCCTCCACCACTACGCGATCCGACTGTTTGAGTGGAACCACCAGGAAAGGATCACATTGTCCCGAACAACCAGCCCAGCAAACCCAACCAACTCAACCAACTCAACCGACGAAACCCACTCAACCAACACAACCAACTCAACCAACTCAACCAACTCAACCGACACAACCGACGCAACCAAATCGACGGATACGCAGACATGCAACCCAACCAACTCAACCGACACAACCAACTCAACCGACACGACCAACTCAACCGACACAACCAACTGAACCAACACAACCGACACAACCAACTCAACCAACTCAACCAACTCAACCCACACAACCAACTCAACTAACGCAACAAATTCGACGGGCACGCAGACCACCGACCAATACAACCAACACAACTAACACAACCAACACAACTAACACAACTAACACAACCAACACAACCAACACAACCAATACAACCAACACAACCAATACAACCAACACAACCAACACGACCAACACAACCAATACAACCAACACAACAAGGGCAAACTCGATCTGGAATTTACTATAATGGAAATCGTTGTCAGGATCCGAAACTTTTATGACTTAAAAAATGCTTAACATTTCAACGAGAATAATTCTTATTATTTTATTTTAATTTTGAATGCTATAAGCCATTCAAACCTATGTTTCTGTAGCGATATCTTCATGAAAAAATATAACACTTCGTGGTATATCTGTTATGATTTAGTCTCTGATTTTGACTAGTCCGAACTACAGTTTTAGTTTGAATTAAATATATTTTCAATGTTTCGCAAAAGTTTAAAAATAAACAACTTAAATTTATGTGCGCCATTCAGGTACAGCTATTGGATGAACGCACAAAAATAAAATAAAAACAAAAAGCAAAAAGTTCCTTTCGAATTCCCAGTCCGAACACTTTAAAAACAATTTTCTACCAAGCGAACTTTAACTGAAGCGAATAAAAGATGCTGCGAACGGGGCTCTGACTATTTATTTGCTCCAAATTGCATTGGAGAGGGCTGAGCTGTGTGTGAACAGTTCAAACTACCCCTCCCAAAAGCACACACACAGTCTTACACAAACACAAAGATTCGCTGGGAAAATCATTCACACGTAACAGCATTGAGACACCTCCAGTGGGGTTGGGGCCCTGGCACACTCGCTTGTTGTTGTTTTTGGCGTGCTAAAGAAACTTTGCCTCATAACTTCACATTGAAGAAGATGCATATGCAACACGTTCGTGCCATTCAGTGTTGCACCACCTTCCGGCCTCGACCAACTTGCAATTGAGTGCTGTTATATACGTATCTACAAATCCTTTTTCCCAAGTAGATTTTGCAAATATGTGTACATATGTATATACTCCATTTGTACGCATACACATATATGTGAGGAGACGGCTGCTACGTTTTTCACACATTGCGACTTTGGCAGCAGAAAGACTGCTTCCAGGTATTTGAAATGAACTGAAACTCGACTCATTTGAACTTAAATGAACTGAACTGAACTGTCCTGAACTTGGTTGAGCTCAACGGAAATGTAACTGATGAAAATGTGAGAGCGTCGAGTTAATTGAAAAATAGTGTTTGCTATTTTATGACACTGCCCGCAACTCTGTTGACAATTCTCAGACAAAAGGTCAATAGATGGTTGTGGTTGGTCTTTTAATTTTTAATTAGTATGCAGGAGTTGTTACTTGATGCTTTCTGGCTCGGGGCTAGGAATTTTTTATCCAGTGGCATATTTTTTTTGTATCAACAATGAAATAAATTTCTAATTTCTTGATTTATGACCATAAGCAATCTATGTGGATATTTCACTGAATTATAAAAACGTTAAGATTTAAATTATATTTTTAGTTTAAAATCTCTAAACTCTAAATTTAATATGGCTTTTGGTATTGTTACAAGTTTAGAATTTAGTTACAAATCATCAAACTTTTATAAATATCTCTAGCAACTATGGCCTTCGGCTTAAGTAGTACTACATCCACAAGTAACGAGTTCCATTCCTCGTATTCAGTTGCCTAACTGACTAGGTTACAAAGACAACTGAAATATGTTCAGGAAACTAGTTTTATATATACATATATATATATGTTTGTTTGTTTGTTGTAATTGTATTTATTTTAACATATTTATAAGTAGTGTCATTTTTATCATTTACTTGGCTCATTATTGAAACGCTTGTTTAGCAATGTTCCCTGATTTTAGTCCAAATTCTATGGTGTGCCAAATATTAATGCTTATGCGATGTTTATTAATTAATTAATTAAAGTAAAGCTGATATTGTTATTAGATAATCCTATGCTTAAACGTATGAACAGGATAACTGATGGCGGATTTACGATATGTGCGTAATTTTGCAATATACATATACCCATATATATATATTTCTGTTTATACTAGTATTCGTTGTTGTGGACACTGATAAATTACTTTTATTATTTATTAACCAATAAGAAAATGGAACTTAATTTCCCTTAGACTGAAAACCAAATCTATGATATGATAGTAGCTTTTCAAACAAGTTTTCAATAATGAGCAGCAAAGGCCTTAAATACTTAATAATTACAGTGACATTTTTTTTTGTACCCATCAAAAACAATTTTCGATTATAAGCTTCTTTGAAATATTATATAAAAAAAAGTCTGTAAATGAATATTTGCTACAGAGAAAATGAAATTCGCATTGCAAATACCTATTTGTAATTAAAGCTTTTAAAGCTACATATACAACCTAGATGCCACATGATCAAAAATCGAACTAAATTGGGCATAAAAAATTGTCTTTCCTTCTTATATGGTTAAATGACGTAGTCTATAAGGAATTTTGATAAACATAAGCGAGCTTATCACAACACAAACATATACGAATAATTAAAACTAATTAACAATGTTACTACAATTCGCATTTAACATTAATATAAATATGAGAACTGCGGATAGGCATATTGTAATTAATCACAATTTAATATGCAAAAAAGATTTAAAACAAGTTTTCATAACTTGTGCCTTTTGAGATGATCAGAAACTCTAGAGTTTCCATTTAAGGAAATCCAACATATCGTGTTTTGTCAGGAGTATTCTTAGACTTCTATAGTACGACGGTTGAATAGTTAGCCTTCATTCGAACTGAGACTCAGCTCAGTATGAATGAGTGTGATTTACTCTTGCCGTTCTTGCTGATCATCGCAACGGGACCTGTTGGGACAAGAGCAGAGAGTGAAACGTGAAGAAATAACATCTTAGATATGCAAAACACTCTAAATGTACCTTCAGTATCCGAAGCGCTTGCCACACCCATCAGTTTAAGCGATTGAAAGAGTGCGCCCAGGTTTGAGCGGCCATCTAAGAATTCGCTGTTCAAACGCACCACGGCAGACTTTTTGTTTTTGGTCTGTGTATGCCAGACAAGAATTTCGGTGCAATTCGCGCCTTTGGGCTCAATTTGATCAATACGCAATCCAATGCTGCGCAGAAACAAATCCTCCTCGTAGCCCGGCTTGTAGGGCATATTTACATTGGGATACTGCGACATGTAGGCCAAGCTCACAGCAAATCCAGCCATGTCAACAGGCCAGCGCCGACCCGCCACCCAAGAGTCCAGAAAGGCAACTACTTTACCCTGAGAAAAAAAAAAAAAAAATAGGGATCAGTTCATAGTAAATATATTTTTCTTTATATACTCACATCACGCACTACCGGCACACTGACCGCATATTCTGCTATCAGTCCAACAGGAAACATGGAGACTCGCTGCGTCTGCCTTATTTCCGAGAAAAGTCTCAGATCATAAGTATTGTCGTCGTCACCAAAATACAGTACACCATTAGTTATGTTTTGTTGATGCAGCCATTGCAGTGCTGCACGTCGATTGGCCACGCCCCGCGGCGCCGGCTTCGATTTACGAAACTCACTGGGCATCGGACTGGCCATATGTGCATAGGGAATACCTGAGATATATATGTTTACATTAGAAACAGAGCTTATAACTGAGCCCGACTCTCATTTATGCCACATGATCGTATTAACTAAAAACTATTAACCTAAAGGCGGGCTTGCTAAGATTTTATTTATAGCAACTATGCTTTACTCTCTTGAGTGATAAAACTCTATTTGTAATATTTCCACATCTAACTTCACTTGGCACATCTGATTCCTGGTAGTAATTGATATTTGATGTAAATAAACCTACCAAAACCACTTAACAGCGTGTCCAGAAACGTATCACATCTCTCTTGATCATTGGCCACCAGCCAGTAGAGTCGAGGCACATGGAGCAGCGTGTATGCCAGACGCTTCAGTTCCGGTATTTGTTCGCGTCTGGGATATGTGGGCGTTACGAAATAAATCACAGGCAGCTGTGCGTAGGCACTACGGGGCTTATCTTGTATATAGACGCGACGATCCTCAGGGCTTTCGCTGCATATGTGCAGCGGTTCATTCAGAGCGTGCCCAGTTGTACTATCTGCAAAAAAGTAGAGAGAGAGAGAGAGAGAGAGAGAGAGAGAGAGACAGAGAGAGAAAGGGTGAGGAAATTATTTAGTGATCCGCCTAAAGTTGGGCAATGCAAAAATGAGCACGAATGTGTTATTTTTGGTCCCCTCTGCCGAAGCCACTGGCCAAGAAAAAACAGCTCGCAATGATTCGCAACTGTGTGAATCTCTTTTAACACTCAAATATTGTGTGCTTTTCATGTGGCTACAAATAACACTTCAAGTTCGCTATGATAACAATTCCGCCCGACTATTTATAATTTATCTAATTACCTGCCCCGTACAGTCGGGTCAGCCCAGACGTTGTTATATATACATAAAAAAACATCGCTCGTGTGATCTGTCAACTTTTGTAGTTATGTCTCTACATCTTGAAATTACAACTAAGCGAATACGTTTGTTGTAAGAGCTAATCTAGAATATGATTTGCTTCAAATAGGATGTAATTAAACAGAATCTCTCTCAACTGTGATGCGAAAAACGTAGAGATTTACGTATTGACTGTACGTCATTATGCCAGCTATATAAATAACTTGTGAACACCCTGTACCCATTGAAATTATTTAAAAAGTAAAATTAGGAAAACATTGGTGTGTAGTTGCAAGCCTTTTTGCAACCAATTAATTCTAACTGCTTGTGCAGCGAAATTCAAACACTTAGATTAGTTTTCAAATGGATTTATTTGCCGCGCAGGGCACTTATTAGAATTTATAAGTTTTAAATTGTTGCTTGGCAGCCAACTCGAATTAGTTGTGCCTAGGTTGCGATCAAAACGAAAGACTGACTGGTTATGACAATATGTAAAGCGAATCGAAACGAAACTCCAATAAGACGCTCGCCGGTTAGAGCGAAGGGCAGCAATGCAAGCAAAGCAATTCAGAAGGAGAGTGGACAGCAGCTTACAAAGAGCGCGCAAAAAAACTATTTGCTCTTAGGCTGTAATTATGATTGTTATTTTCTGCTGTTGGATGATGTCCGCAGCCGTCGGTGTTATCTCTGCTGTTACTTGACCAAACAATTGGTCTATTTTATATATGCAAGAAATTATGCTTAGGGCTTTTTCAGTATATATCTGATCAGCATATATTCTTGATCTGGATCTGAACTACGAAATGATCTCAAGGAACTATAAAATATGTGAATGATACGCAAAACAACTGTCATTATGTTTTTTAGTACCTTTTCATCAACTCAAAATTGATAAATATCGATGCTCTGCCACTTCGTGCGTATCTTATCTTATTATGGGAATAGTTAAGAGTATCATCCCGTATAGAGAACTCGTGTTTATATTTTGTTCTGCGATTTATTATTGAAGAATTTGATAAATAGACGCATTGATGACTGGGACTAAAAACTTAATTTGATAATAGTACGTATTCAGTGATATGTGTGTAAATTCATTGGTGAACAATATTATTAGGTCCGTTGATAAGGTTGCAAAAAGATTGCAGTATCGACAGCTTCGTACATTGAGGATATATAGAAACTTATTTAACAAATATTTAGTAATCTATGAAATTCGAAAATTGCTTGGGGAATTAGAAATTTCTAGAACTAATATGAGTCATTAAACACCTAGAGTCTACAATTTTGTTGCTTCAATTGCATTTTGCAGTAACTTTTTTAAAGGTCATTGCGTAGAAAATCTCCTTAAATCAGTCGATTGTTAAAATAAGAATTAACATTAATTTTTTAGATTTCATTGAGTGGCATAGTTAAATAGGCATAGATTTTTGACAAATTCGAAACACATTTGAACCGTAAAGCGGTTTAATTGCGAATGATTCCTGTACTTAAAATAACTTGTTTCATAGTTGAAGGGCCATAAACATTTTACCTGGCTAATCGTAGTCGTAATCGAATGAACCTAATTTCGCTCAAGATTTTCTCTATGCATTGACCTTGTTGTGCCCGCAAATAAAATCGCTTAAAAATATCAAAATGAAATTCAATTACTTAATGGACTGTCGCATAGACAGTATGATAAGTATATATACACATGTAATTGTTAATTCATCTGCCTTTCCTATATTTTATGCAAATGTGCGTTAATGTGTATTTCAATCTTCCATAACGATAAAAAAAAGGCATTAAAAAAATTCCCTTGATAGATCTGTTTAGCCCAAAACACGCGAGCCTAAAGACAAGCGGCCCATTATAACAGCCCAAAACAAGATATGTGAACGTCGATAACTTTCACGTGTGCGCATTAACGGTAATAGGTATAATTGTTGTGGTTGCTGGCCATCTATCAATATTGAGCACATAAATTACAAGGGGGCAACCACATCGTCCTGTTGCAACAGGGCTCAATTTAATCACTAATTAAATATTGACTTGGCCCATGAGACGGCTCAGCCATGCCCAACAGAGGAAACAATGCCGCCTCAAGGGGCTGCCGGGCCCATTGTAAGGGTGGCAAACATCATAGGTAAAGTGTTTACCCTTATACTTGCGTAAATTTATTAGATACCGACAATCGAGTATTTGCATATATCAGAAATGTCATAAAATCACAACGTGCGCCCCATCAGATACATATATATATATATGTCTAATTTATTAGGCACCTGGTTCTCATTCACAAGCGGTTTTGTATGCCTGCCATAAACACCTGATAAGGCACACATTTTATCAGGGTCGCGATAGTAATAAAAAAAAACCCATGTATAGTATTTTCACTATTTATTATGGCTCACGTCTGCAGGGCGAGACATTTTGCAATTAAAATGATTTGAGCTATGGGTGTTTTTTCCCAAAGCATTTACCTTTATTAAAATGGTTTTGTTTTTATCAATTCAATACGTTCCGTTAATAGCCTCTTGAGAATCGAAATGCGATTCTACCCACGCCTGAACGTGATTCATGGGTCGTATTCAATGATCAGCGTTTTTGAATGAATCATGTGAGTTCTGCGATAACATATAAGTAATTATAAGTTAATAAACGGCTTTGCCGGGCCCTCAAACTGTAATCAGCAGTCGAGAGATTTTGAAACTTGTCCACAATGAACTACAAAACTACAATTTTTAATCATTCGTATAACAATTTTTGGATATCAGTTAAATTTATAAATTGTTAACTGTACAAGCCTTTTCGAATTGGGCAATAACGAGCCAAGTCTGAATAATGGCTTATAAGAGATTTAAGTATAAAGTATTGAGAAAAATTTCCCACTGTGGAATTGCAATAGAAACTTATGCAAAAAATGCATAATAAATAATTGATATCCGTGGAAATGTTTACTTTTTTATTTTTTTATAATACGATATTGTATTTATTATAATTTATTTGAATATAAGAAAATGTTTCCAAACAACATTTTTGTGAATGATATGTTATCCCATATTATATTCGACCACAATACATTTAACCCATTGTAATCGATTGACATATGTAAAGTATTAGAGTCAGTTGTTCTAGATTACTTATTAAATTAGTCGGAGAGTCCATACATCAACTACTCTATTGTATATATATATTAAAATTTGTTCTCTATGCACGTGCTGTTCTGTTGCCAACAATTTGCCTAATCGCGTGCAATTTGAATGGCAACTTTGGGTCAGCCCCAACGGAACGACCGGATAAATGCATGGGTATAATTTAAAAATCGTAAATATTTATGTAGAAAATTTTAGTCCGTGACATGTCCAAAGTGCATCAACTGTGCCAGCCTGTAAAAACAAAAGCAATGGCAAAAGCAAAAGCAGGCGGCACGCGGAATTCGAATTTTGGAAATCGACCAACTATTTCAGGGGGCCAATAAACTAGACAAATTGAAAATGGGCCTAAAGCTGAGAATTGCCAATTCCAATATATACACTAAAAGCAATCGAGAGTCGAAAATCAACGCAAACGCAACGAAAAGGCGGCACCAATTGGCAAGGTGTACGGAATCGGGTCGTGAATCGGAGGCGATAGCTTTAAAAAGGCAATTAACTGTTCGTTTAAAAAATTACCATATATATTTAAACTATACAGCCGAGCCGAGTGTGGAAAAACGGCAATTAGGCGATTGTGAAATATGTCCAAGTCGTTTGAGATCTGCGAGACTTGACAGTTTACAATTTTGATTGATTGAGCAATTTCTGGGCCTGGAATTAAATATGCAACTATCCTATTTACTGTTTGCTTTTTATATTTTCAAGCTAATTATTTGCTGAAGCTATATTGATTTTCAGTTAGGAAATGAATCGTAAACCGTTTTGTAAACTCGAATCTTATGGTTATTGTAGTTATTGAATTACTTTGTTTGCTTGCAACAGAATTATTCTATGAAAAGGAGTATTTATTTATAGCTAGATTTGTCGGATCATTTCATAAGAAATTTAAATTTTAGCTCTCCAGAAATGCCATACCAATCTTATAAATGATGTCACCCTCGCTGGCTTTGCGGCTAATAAATATTTACGCTAAATTGGTTTCTCGGTCAAACAAGCTTTTAAAATTGCGCAATGATCAAGAGGATGACAGTACGCTTGAATGGAACATGCCCACAAATTTGAAACTTTCAAGAAAATATTGCGTTTAATGATATATTGAATGCGGGAAGCCGAAGCCATAATAGTTTTAATAGCTCATTTGAAATTCTAAACACACATCAAAGACGCCTTCCGGATGCGAATCGGTGTCCGGGTCCGATGCGAATCGCGTGTTGATGCACCGCCGGAACAATGGAGAATATCGATCGAAATGTGAACCAGGCGAAATTATCTAATAAATTACGTATAAGAAATTAAAACCAGAGCCGGAAAATGTGGCCTTGGCATGGCACCGTGACCGAAAATGCGATGGCTATTAAAACGCACGAAGATATTTGCGGAACGGGTGACGGGTATCGATAAAATATATTGCTGAAAGAGACAATGCTTGGCAAATTAGGCCAATTACGGCTAAATAATAAATAGTAACAACAACAACAACAACAACAACATCAGTTAATAAACCAACTAAGGCAAACCCAAGCAGACCCACCCGTCAGCTTAGACGGAGTGATTGCCGTAACACTTTGGAGCCAAGCCAACGGCTGTCCGGAGAAATGTGAGAGTGAGAGTGAACGACAGTGATAGTTATATAGACAGAAAGAGAGGGTGCGAGAGAGCGCGAGTGCGAGCAGTAGTGAGAGGCTTTTGGTGGTCGAGTGTTTGCTCGTTAGTCAGTTGGTTAGTTTACTTGTTTACCCTTTCAAAGGGTGGGCATTGTGACTATGTAAGGAAATGTGTAACGCCTCGAGGGAGACATTCTTTCGGAAGCGAAGTGACAAAAAAATAAATAATACAATTTTATGGCTGTCATAGGAGCCATAAATAAATACAACTTTTGAAATTGACTGACATTACAACTTACATCTTTCATAAGACTTAATATGGTCTTCGTTTAAGTTTTTAAATTAAATGTCATGTAGTCACAATATTCAGAACTATTTACCTAAAGTAATCGTTGACTCAATATATTGGGTATAGATTTCAAAGCAACATGTGAAAAACAAATCTGCAAGCGTATTCAACAGTCAGCGTAAAGAAAATATCTGGTATAGCGGGGGCTGGGGATAAGCTATAGTGACTTATTAAACACCTCACCACGAAAGTTAACCCATTTTTAACTGAGTTTTTTAACGGGCATAAAAATGATGTGCAAATAATCATTTTTTCAGTTTTGAGATGGATTTATAAGGACGAACTGCACTAGAAAATCAAAAGTCCCAAAAAACGAGTATTGTGTAGCGCGCTCGAAAAGTGAAAGTCTTGGCTAAGATTCACCTTTAAATAGCTTACGACTGTGTTGCAACAATGCATTGCCAGGCTGGCGGGCAAGAGGGGAGCTACGAATGATATGTATATGTATGTGTACATGTGTGTATGTATGGTATGTAAAGTGATAAGGACAGACCGCCGGCTCAGACAGTTAAGGTCTGATTAACTGGTCATTCACTTGTATCAGGAAAATAATACAGAAAATAAAAAATGTACAAATAAGACTTGGAATTGAAATATGGATTGTTGAGCGTTTGGATGAATGAATTATGGGGACTGTGGAGAATGGAGTATAGGCTTACGTATGCGTCCATGATTGCGCTTGCTTATGGTTGCTTTGAATGGATGGTCGTGTGGAATCATCTGCATCCCTAAGATTAGTTTTAGGTGCCGCCGCTTACCTTTGCCGTTATGCGGCTCATAGATACCATTGGCATCCTCCGCTCCGTCATCGCCCCGGCCCGCCGATTGGGGACTGACAAAGAAGTAGCCGACGAAGCAAACTCCGACCACAATCAGCAGCAGCATGATGCAGTAGCTCCGCCTGCATGTCCCTGCACCTCTCAGTCGTGGCGCCATGCCCATGGACGGCAGCTGGTCGCCTGTGGCCAGCAGCTGCTGTGGATAGCAGCGTGTATGGAGGTGCTGGTACTGGCTGCTCCGCTCGGTCCGGCCGCTCGACTGCTCGTCGTCGTCTTCAATTGCCCAGCGCTCGTCGTTGTCGTCGGATGCTTGCGGCTCGAGTGGTTGGTAATAGGCACTTGGCATTGTGCGACTGGCCTACAGCGGGGCACAGCTGTCGCAGCTTCTAAGGGGTGGTGGCAGTGGCAACTGCAACTGCAACTGCGGCAGCTGATGATTGAGACGCAGACGGCGGCAGAGATGACGACAGCGCCGGGCTGTGTTTGCCATTTGTGTGCGGACTTGACTTTAGCCCGAAAATTGCTGTGTTGCGCGATTTATTGAATCTCTCCTCTACTCTCTCCTCTCCTATCTCTGCATGCTATATATATGTATATATATGTTATATATATCTACAACGGCACAATTTGGTCATAGCCTCGCGTTTACTTTTTAATTTTCAGCAATACAAAATACTCTTATTATTGTTATTATTATTATTCCGCCTTGGCCATTACTATTACGCTTATTATTATTAATATTATTATTATTATTATATGGCAGTTGTCGCCTCACAAAAGTTTATAAACAACATACAAACGCACACTTGCACTCGCACACACAACACGCTCGAATAAGAGAACGCCGCCTGCTTTTTAGCTGTTAAGCAAAACACAAATGAAAAAAGTGTTGCTTAATATGCGATTATTTATTTCGGCTGTTATTCCATTCGCTTTTGTTGTTGTCTCGATGAGTTTGACAGCAGCACTGACGGCTGTGCCAGACAGCCCACTTTTGTCTGAGAGCGCACTGTCGATTGAACCTATACGCGCGCTCTCTCTCTTTCTCTCTCTCTCTCACTCACTCACTCGCTCATAGCGTTTCACAGAGTTGCTTTGCAACGCATCATTTTGTGGTTGATGTCTTCGCTTGCGATGACAGTTTCGAATTTTATTTAAATGAAATGGCGGCTTTTTTAAAAAGAAAAAAATTATGTTCGCTTGAGAGAGAGAAATTATGAAAAAATGATCCACAATCAAAATCAAATACATCTAGTTTGATAAGAACCCTTTGTGACTGTGAGTATGGTTATAATTAGTTATAAGTTATTCAAATGCCGAAAGTGCTGACTGCCGATTTCAACTTGCGAAAAATGTAAGTTTGTTTTCGAATTGCTGGCACAAAATAAAAATAGGCGGGACCGGAAAATCCCTGGCGTTTATTATGTTTTCTAAGAAGTCGTAGCCAAATTCAAACGCATATAAATCCTAAGTTCATTGAGAAATATAGAGAAAAAAAAACTATGAAAAGGATTAATTTTTGAGCTATTTCTATTGAAACAATTGTTTAATGGGAAATATACATTTCAGTGCTTGGCTACGGATATCTTGGATAACAACAAATGCTCAGGGTTTTCCCAATCCCAACTATTTCTATTCAAAAAAGAAAATATGGATTTATGAAAAGTGTGTTAAAAAATATCGAATTGATATTTTGGCAGTGCATAGAAGTTTGAGCAAGCATTTTAGATACTCTAATAACATTTCAATGCGGCCGTAGATCTGTAGATACAGATCATCTTAAGGATATCGGTGTTAAAACATTCAATTCTATATTTCATTCTAGTTGTAATATTAATCACTTTTCATGCTCAACTTTGAATTCTTATCTCTCGTATTGTTTCCTCGTTTATAGAGACCAATTGGTTGGCGTTTGGAAACGTATCTAATCTAATCTGCAATATTTTACCTTTGCACCTGGTAACCGAAAGGTGAGTTAATAAATGACTTGAATAATTTATTTTTTTGATACTGCGAACTTCCGTGTCATTCACATTGAGTTCACATAGCCTGGAATATCAACAATTTAACAAGTACGAAAAAACAAGGAGGAGAATTTGTTTTACATTTATTTATTTGATTTACTTCTGTTTGCTGTGAAACGTTTACAATAAGTTTGCGTTACAAAAAGAACCCGTCTTAACTAGCTAGTAAATTAGGCAAACATTTTACTTTAGTTACATTTAAAGCCACTTTTGTATCTCATTTTTTCGTTTATGCTGCGCTGCAGTGTGAAACACGACAAATAATTTCGGATACTAATAATGCAATTAATCCGCGTTAATCGAGTGCAATGATTGATTCGATAAAATGTTTTCTAGTTTCTTTGCTTCTTATTTTGTTGTTGTTGTTGTTAATGTTGTTGTTGTTGAACACGTCACAGGCAACGTTGCACTTATGGAATACATAATTAACTAAATGGTATGAAGAAAACTCATTGATACACCTAAGCGAATTGTCTTTTTGTGGTCGCGGGGACAATCCATTTGAAGAGGCATGTGGGTTTATTTGTTATTGCGTTTGCGCTTAAATGAGCTTCTGAATAGTCTCGGCCAGTCGGCCGGCATTGGCGCCGGCGAACTCCTCCACCTTGACGGAGTTCTTGATGAACAGGAACGTGGGCATGCTGGAAATGTTGTACTCCATGGCGATGTCTTCGCACTCGTCCACATCGACCTGTTTGTGGCCAAATATTCGATTAGATTTACATTATCAACTGAGTCAAGTATCTATTTGCACTTACCTTGATCACGACTATCTTTTCGGCATACTGCTGCGACAGTTCCTCCAGCTTGGGCGCAATCATCTTGCAGGGTCCACACCAGGTGGCAAAGAAGTCCACAACGACCAGCTTGTCGCCAGCATTCGTCAGCTGCGTCTTGAAGTCGTTCTAGAAAATCAAGAGCATATACCTCAATTAGTCACAATCTTGCCTTTCATGCGATGACCCAAATGCATTTATGTTTATATAGCCCGGTCGAGGTGTGTAGCCGCATGCATTTTTCACAATTTCATCAATTCATCAATTGCTATTTTATGACATTGTATTTTCCGATTGTGTTTTATATTTATAATTCTAATTTGTAGAGTGCTTATCTTGAGCAGGGCCCGAGTTAGCAGTCTATCGATTTGTTTTTGGGCAGCTACTGAAACACGTTCCTCTTATCTGTGCGGGCCAACATGTGTAAGCATTACATAAAGCAAGTATATAGGATTATGTGCAAATATGTATATATGTCGACTGCACTATATATAGTGTTACACTTCAGTTCCATTCATATCTCTTGCAGTTGAATATTTGTATTTGGACTCTCTCCCCTCTCCGCCGCACGACTGAGCCATTTGCTTAATTGCTAAACGTATCTCATTCGAATTGGATTCGACTTGACCTGAACTTAAATTCCGACATGCCTCGACAAGTTCCCAAGTTCTGTACTAATTTCTTCATGAGTTAAATGAATTTCCAAAATATTTGCCATACTATTGGCATGGGCTGTATTAGATTTCAACAGAATTATTTTCATATTTTCGAGTGCATTCAGAATGCCAAACATTCGAAATTGTTGCCCAATTTCAATCGCATCGCATATCATTTTCAAATTGTTTCCCTATCGAAAATATTTGAAATTCTTTTCTTCAAATCAAATCAATATCAAAAAAATGTGTGTACTGTACTTTTACTCAAACATTTGCTTTGACTCTCTTGAACTCTCCGTTTCTGGTCAGCGCCTGTCACGTTTTCTGAAATTGTCCTTTTATTAATTGCGCCCATTTCCAGCACGACATTCTGTTAGGCCAAAAGCCCGATGATTCATTGCGTTAAAGTTAGTCCAGAGTTCGAGTTCTAACTCAGCGTAGTTAGCGCAAGAAATTACTACCCTTAACTTGTAATACATTTGAATTGGATCTTGCGATAGGGATCTGTTTTAAGCAATCAATTGTAATTATATTCACAAACTGTGACTACGATGCAAAATACTTGGAACCGGTTGCCCCTGTGCCAAGGTCATGTTTGCGATTTACCCACTTATACATATATTTAACTAGTTTTGGCTTGTCTCATTTTATAGCTGCCCACACAATATCTAAAATCGGGATTCAAAGCATACGAATGATTCATTTTGTGACCACATACTATTTAATCATCTAATTAATTCGAAACATCATTTTACTCACGGCAGCTAAAATTATTAATTCATATTTTCAGAATGCAATGATTAGTTTTAACACATAACTAGGAATTAGTCAAGTGCATATTTAAGCAGAATAGTTAAATATTTGCTTTTCAGATGAAATGTGAGAGGGAGTCATCTACAAACCAATAAACTATATATATATATACTCTCGATCTGCATCAACAGTCCTAAAGATATCACCTCAAAACTTATGTCGGAACCAAGCGGATCAGAGTACTATCATATATGTATAATATGCACAAGGGTTTATTTCGGACTTTATCGTTTAATTTTCTTTGTGTAAGTTTCTTATCTAAAGTTGGAATATTTGTTTTTGTATATATGGAAGTATTTCGTTTTATGGTGAAAACATTTTTGCAGATAGTGTTTCAAAAATTTTAACTTTATTTATGGGGCTTAGTATTGAAATTTTTTTATATTCGCAAACGTAGAATCAAAAATAAAGTTGTCTAATTTGATTCCGATTGGAACGCATGTGTTCATATTGGATTATAGATATTCATATTGGAACATATGTATAGACAAATTTTTTTTTTATAAATTTATGATGTCGGCAAAAATAAAAAGAAAAGTGATCGTACGCTAATTTTATGTTCCTTTAAGTGCCCAGTCCATGACGTCAAAAGTGTTTATTGCTTTTTGCGACTAAGTACAAATTTTTCATAAATACGTAAACTGACGCAACGTCTATAAATTGTTAATTTATGTTAAATAAAAGTGGAATGTGCTGTTTAGTTGTCGCAGAGACAATGTGTCACGACTGAAACCGGTTTGGAAGCTGAGTGGCCCGCCAAAACGATGTGTAATGTGCATTAAAGGGTAACTTGGAGGTTAAACCACCCTGTGCCCAGCTGAACAGGCCAAGACTGTGCATACTGATAAATAAAGTGCGAACTCATTATGATGATAATGGGGTTTGTCTAACCAAATAGCACATGTGGTATATGAGGAATGTATATGTATATGCATGCGATTAAATTATTGCAATCGAGTTGTTTTCGATTCTTACGGAACGTATCTAAAAGGCATACAAAAAAAATGGCACTTTCTAGCGCGTTGCGTTTGCTTTGGTGTCCGGTTCGTCGTAGCAAAGAGCCAAAAGAGATGATATCATTGTTATATACTGGCTTTCGATATATTAGATGTGTGTGTATATTTCGAAAGCGTATGGTAATTGGGGCAACTAACAAAATGAGTGGCAGAAAAAAAAAATGATTTTAGTTCGGCGTTGTCTGGCGGTCCGGGGTGGTTAAATCGCTTATTACTTAACCGAAATTGTCCGAAACTACGTTAATCCGCTTGCAGAATACTCACCACGTCTTTAACTGCGTACACCATTTTGTTGAATTGTTGTTCGGGGGGGGATTTAGTGGAAATACAACCGGTAAAATTTATGAAGTTTTATTAATTAGTGAACAGCCGCAGAGCACACGCAACCAACTCGTGGGATTTTTATATACCAAATGCCAATGCTCAACGCTTGGACCCGCTGTCATATACGAGCAAATAAAATTCAACACGAAAAAGAGCGGGAGAGTAAACGGGATTGGTTTGGTCTGGCAATGCCGTTGAACTGGTGTGTGGGTGGTAAGCTCAGCAGCGTGGTGTACGTACGGTTCACCTAATCGAGCTCAATTTTAAATATTTCTAAAAATGTCTTTTTAAATATAATATATTAATTATTTTAAATGTAAAGAGCAGCTAATAATATAACATAATTTTTCAAAATACGAATGTACTTGCTAAATACAACACTGCTGCACAATGCTTTATCAAAACTAGATGGCGCTGTGTATATAATGTGCACGATTGATTTCCGCTAGATGGCGCGCGCATTATCACGTATGCGCAACGTCTTTGCCCAGGTTTAATTTAGCTTAATTTATCATACTCTCACATACTTTATTTATGAGCAGGTTTTGTGTAATCTAACTCCAAGCTCATTGATGAATGAGCATTTTCTCATTGATGTAGTACAGTTTCCGTGACTGGATGTACGCCAGCATTTAAAATAGGTTTCCGTTAGAAATAACTCTTTCTTCAGACCACACACAGCAGATTACAAATCAACATTTTTATAATATATTTAGCCAAAAAAACAATAAGAACGCTACGCAATGCTACACATTGAAATTAAGATTTCAAAACTAAACATAACCTGGGTCTAAGAACTATGAGTAAGTACTATCAATGGGCCGCGTGTGTTGATTGCGGGGCGTGTTGCGACGCGTGGTGTAAATGATGATGGTGATGGTGATGATAGGTGAGCGTTGGTGTAGGTGGCGCCACTGCCACTGTTGGCGCGGCGCCTACGCTGCTTGACGCAGCGCTCCCAGCGGCAGCAAAGCCGTTCGCCGCCGCCATCTGTTGCTCGTAGTTGGCATAGTGATCGTAGTAGCTGCCGTAGCTGCCAGGATCAAGACTCGCATTGCTTGGGTTCATTCCGCTGCCGCTAAAGCCGGCACTGGCGCTGGCGCTGCTGATGCCGTTGCCATTACCCGGCGCTGTGGTGCCCGTGTCGAAGTAACTAACGCCGCTGTAACTATTGGCGCTCTCGTAGTAGTGTGCATGGCCGGATACGTTGCCGAACTGCTGCTGCAGCTCGTAGTCGGACTTGTGGGATTCGCGATTGTAGTAATAGTCGTAGTTGTCCTCCACGCTGGCCGCATAGCCCGGCACAGGCTGCGTCTCCACGGTCGCATTGTACTTGATGGTGGGCATCGTTTCATTCTTGCAGCCCAGCTCCGTGCCGTTGCCCAGATGCTTTATTTGCGAGTAGTTGATAAACTCCGGCTCCGGCGTGGCCAGCTGCGGACTGGATTCGTACGCCAGCTGCTGGCAGCTGCTGGCGATGGCATTGCTGTAGCTGGAGCTGGACTGCATGTTGAGCGCCGGCTGATAGGCGGCCAGCTCCGAGATGCACGTGTAGGGCAAGCTGGGCGACTTGCTCGGCGCGGCAGTTGCGGCAGCGGGCGTGGCATGATAAATGGGATAGTTGTAGGTAATGTGCTGATGGTTCACGGTATATACATTGCCCGACGACTCGCAGGGCGCGGAATCAGCGTTGGCCAGCGGCCAGGAGCTGCTCATATAGTTGGACGTTTGACTGAGCTGATGGGCGCGCGTCGTCTCCTCCAGATAGCTGCACGTGCAGTGGCTGTACGTGGTGCACTTGCCACAGGCTGTGTAAAAGTAAGATCATTAGAATCGCCTTTGCAGTAGTTGTGATTTGATCCTTACCATTGAATTGATATATTTCCAAGGCCGAGTGGCCCAGCGGATTGCTGGCGTTGCTGCGCTTGAGCACCTTGCCCATGAGATTCTGTTGCTGCTGACGGAGAGAGTCGCACATGAATTACTCGCAATCGACTGTTGGCGGTACTCACCTTCACCTGCTTGACCAAGCCCGCCATGACCGACTTTTTGGGCGCACTGGGCGCCCTGGCCACGGATGTGCTGCTTGCCTTGCTGCCCGTCAGGGAGACCCGGCCGAAGGCACGCTTCGAGACGCTGGAGTTCTTGGGGTCGGGCCGCAGATGATCGTGCACGCCCTTGGCCTGAAAGAAGATGGCATTGCCCGAGTGCCGCCAGAAATGTGTCACCGGGTAGCCGCAGTGTCCGCGGCAGGGCTTTATCTCCAGTCGCCCGCCGCGACAGCTCTTGTTGGGGCAGGCCTTGCCCTCCTGCTTGCGGCGCGCCTTGTCGCAGATGGCCGGGCGCAGATTGATCTTGGAGCCGTTGGGCAGCGTGCAGTGGTGCGAGCAGACCAGCACACCCAGGCAGCTCTTCTTCAGTATGTTCACGTTGTGGTTGTTGGTGTTGCGCATCGCCCAGCCAGAGATGTGCTTCTTGGCCTCCTCGTTGTGCACCGAGTAGACCAGACGAACATGCCCGTCGCTCCACTCGCTGAACTCATCGAACTCAATGTCGGCCACCTGCGGCACGATCGCATCGTTAATATCCCAATCCCGTTTGCCCTTATGCGTCGTCATCCCGCTGGCCGATGGCTGCAAGTGAATCTCTTGGCTCTGCTGATGCTGTTGCTGCTGTAGCTGTGGCTGCTGCTCCGGTTGCGAGAGTTGTTGATAGTGTGCCTTGAAGGTGTAGCCATTTCTGTAAGAAATTCGACATGTCTTCAGCTAATCCCTACGTTTGCACTTGTTAGATAGGATAAACTCTCTCCCAGTTTAGCCTGAACTGGAACTGATGAGTCTAATCTTCAGCAGGAAGACAACAACTGAGCTGAGACTAAACTCTAGGAATATATGGCCCAATTCGACTGCCTGAACTACCTACTAATTTTGTCTGATAAGCTCCTTGCCTGGATCCTCGCTTATGAATACGATCTTTATCAATTGATGATCTCTTTTTTAATGAAAGCTCAAGAAGAGCAATCAGCGCATAGAGTACTTTGTGGGTCAGCCTTAAAGCTGAAGAGCAAGTCGATTCATGGATGGAATGCGGGTGACCTTAGCTCTTATCTGTGCTCTGCTTAAGCTTCAAAGTGCTTGAACTACACTAAATTCACTTGCTTTACAGCGATTATTTAGCTCGCATCGATTTAATTGCTGTGGCATCTCTTTAAGACCTCCAATCTTAATTACAACTCTAAACGATTCCTATGAAATGCTTCGGGCGCAGTTTATTGATATCGTCTGCGTGGCGTGGGCTGCGCGACAATCAAATGAATTGCTTGGCTTTATGCGTGTCATGGAACGCATAACTCTGGACGGGACAGCAGGCACCGTTAGGATTAGCCCAGTTAACCCGCCAAGTAATGCAAGCCAGCCCCACGAGGTAATTCGAGCGCCAGCTTACAAAATGATTGACACTTAAAGCGCCGGCGCTGTGTGAGTCATCCACAGATCAACGAAGAGACACCAGCCCGTCTCCGTCTCCGTCTACACTCGAGTCGAGTCGAGTCGAGTCGAGTGGAGTCTCGTGGTTGCCCCACGCTTAGATTTATGCGGCAAACGTTTAGTGGAGCTCGCTCTACAATTAGCAATAAATTTGTCGAGGCAACGCGCTGCATTGCCGCTCATTAGAGGGCGCCCTGTGGCCAGTCTCTGAGTGGGCCCCGGGCTGAGCACATGAAAAATATTTTTTTTTTATGTTTACCGGGAAGACAGCAGGCCGCTTGGCCCTTTGGCCCAACTGGACACTACCTGATCGAGCGCCTGGTGGTCCGCTGTGAACCTGTTCCATGCTTCTTGTGCCTCGTGTTTTTGGGTCTCGTTTGTCGTTTGTCGGTTGTCGCTTTGTTTTGGGCACGTAAATTGACTGCTTGACACTTCGCAGCGCTTATCTGATATTGATAGTGTCACTTCGTTGTTTTGGTGGCTGTGACATGTTCTCTTCGGGGCCTCCTTCTGCCCATAATAACTTTGTCACCTACAAAATATGTCTATATACAAATCGCGGCCAGAGCTCGGCTCGAGCATCGGGCCCTTTCACTGGGCCAAGTCAGCCCCCGCGTTGGGCCCTAGGCGCATGTGTGTGGTCCGTGTTCCCCGCGGCTTTTTTCGAGTGTTATTAACCAAGTCTCGCCTCCTCCCTCCCTCCCTTCCCGCCTTTACTCTAATAGTCTCTGCTCCAGGGCTAGGCTAGGCTCAGCATGATAATAAAGCGCTTGAAATAATTTAAATATTTTTGTGCTTATGTCGATATTGTTTTTTTTTTATCTTTTTATTGGATTCTTTCCATTTGTATGTTTTTTTTGCGCATACCGATTTATTGCTTCAGCTGGGCTTTATCATTGCGTTTTGTAATCGGCTCTAAGTTTTAGCAGATTTTTCAATCAACTCTATGTTGATTTGATTGTGTTAGTTTACTAAGAATACTTGTATAATATTTGGAAGACCAAGTTTTTCCCTGATCCGAAGACAATAATGTAAATCAGAAAACTATGATGACAATTAGATCTGTACGTAAGGGTATTCAATCCTCGGCACTCTCATGATATTTTTCACTCTAGTTTTACTTGAATGTAATTGCGTTGTTTTTTTTTCTTAATGTGAAAAACATATTTCTCGATACCGCAAAAAATGCTAAAATATTTTTTTTCAGTAATTAAGATAAGATTTCTTTGGTATTGTAAATTTATGCAGAAATTAACCTACGTCAAATGGATGCCTTTGACCTTTTGCATTCAATTATAAACAAAATCGCAAATAATGGTAAAAATATAAAATCATAATTTCATAATCGATCAGATGCAATTACTTTATATTCTTGAATTTATTGTAATTTATGTAATATTTAATTTATATAGAAAACAAAAAAAATTATATTTCTTGTATATCGACAATAATTTATTTTGAGGATTGCCCTTGGAGTTTGCAAATAACGAGATTGTGCCAAAGTTGTTTGAAAATAATTGCGTAGCTTGAGATTATGTTTGCGGTAGCGAATTTATTTATTGGAAAATAACTGCTGATATTGTTGTGTATATGGCAGTCCATACTTATTGAAAATATATTATATTAAAATTACTTTTGTTATCTTAAATACGTTTTCTTCTTCTTTGAATTTATTTGCACCCGCACTCACAAATATTTAACCACAACTACGTGTTTATTTCTAAATATAAAGTTCTGTTTGAGCTTAAACTTAATTTTGACTTGCCTACTAAAAAATAATTTATTAATATTCAATTTGGTATATTCATTTACTTTATTGTTGGGCTTTTCAATTTTAAATCTCTATTTTCTATCCATAAAAGTATTCATTTCGACCAAAATAACTTTAATATATTCTTTGGCCTGATCTATTGCCATAAATAAATGAAATGTACCAAAACATTCAATAAATCTAACTAATTAATTAATATTTCCTTAATCCTTTTCCTTAATAAGCCCTGTTGACTACTTCAAGTCTTATCATGGTCCAAATACATTTAAGAATTTAAGTAAATTAAATATTTATTGATATAATACTCCTTATTGTTTGATAATAGTGTGTTTAGTCACATATCATGAATTTCACTTAATAAATTCGAAGATAGTAAATAGAGAAGTAAGCAAAGGGTATATTCGCGGTCGTTCGTCTTGAGTATGCTCGGGTATTTTGGAATTGTTTCGATTGAAGGTTTTTATCGTAAATGCGTGAATGTTTGCATATTAATAATTCCTTGAATGCCTTTGTCTGGTGTCAAGGGACTTGAAAGCGCAGAGGAGAGGCTACCAACGATATGCCAAACAGAACTTACAAAACAACCATATTCCAAACAAATGCGGTTAATCCAGAGAATGTGTGTGTGTGTGTGTGTGTGTGTCGAACGATATATCCAATAAATAGTTGAGCTGTGAGATGCGCACTTGTCAAACTGTTGTCACTTCACAATTGCAGCACTTGGCCATTTTAATCGCAATGGCGTCAATAGACTTCCGTGGGCCCTAACACAATTGTGTATCTGTATCTAACGAATAGAAAGCAACCGACGCTAGTTTGTTCGGCTTGAGCACACGCAATGACAATGACAACGACAACGACAACGGCGACGACAACGACAACGACATGGACAACGGCGACGACAACAATGACGACCTTTCGCTGTGGCAACCTGTGCGCGCTGTGTGCAGCAGGGCGAAATTTACGTATCTGCCAGATAGAAAACAACAGAAAATGAAATGAGCATATGGAACTTCGGCTGAAGACAAAAACGACGCTGGCAAAGTTTTGTCAACAATGAAATGATATTATGGCTGGCTCCACCTACAAAAACCAACAACAGCCACACACCAAGCCGCTGCTGAGAGATGAGCGTATTGAGCGGACCCATTGGACGCACGGACGGACCATTCTACACCCGCATAAATTTGGCAAAAACTCCACAAACGACGACGTCGGCGCACAATCAACAGCCAACTCCATCCCGGCTGTAGGGAGCTGCAGACAGAGGCAGCAGCCGCAGCTGCCGTTCCACGTATGCTCGCTGCAAATGTATCCGTCAGATACGAGTATCTGTGTGTGTGTGTGTGTGTGTGTGCTTAAGTGCGTCTGTCTGTGTGTGTGCGCGCGCGCTGGCAATTCCAAGTTCATTCCAGTCGTCGCTGATTGGTCGGATAACAGCTGCTGACGCGCACAATGCACACACACGCACACACACATCAGACTCTATGGAGTGTGGCAAGCGTGTGTAGAGCCGGCATTGCTCATTATCTGCTTGTGTGTGTGTGTGTGTGTGTGTTTCTGAGAGTGGCTCTAAGTATCTCTCATTGCATATGAGTTTAATGGAAAATTTAATTATTTACTTATTATTTGTGCTGCTTGAAGAGCAATTAAAGATTCGCCTTGCCAAATCAATTAAATCTCTAGAAATGTAAAACTGGCGCCAATCAAATAATATTCCAGTATGCTCAAAGCTAGATTAAATCAATATTTTTACTGATTTTACAAGAGTTCGCCCAGAAAACATTGTCATACTTTCTCAAGGCTTGTTTGAACTTGGGCTAAGATAAAGATATATTGTCTTAGCCAGCATTGAAGTAGCCCATATAAGCTATGGCTTGTAGCTTATAGACAAAATGTTTAAATAAAATTTCTTATTTAAATTATGACATTGCCTCAGAAGCTGGAATATTCATTTAATTTCTGGCACTAATTAAAGATATTATAATACTTAAAGGTTTTTAGTTTGCGCCAAGTTTCTATTTATTTTTTGTTAGCATACACAATGCTTGTCCTGATTGATTGCAGAGGGGCGGATGTGGCATACGGATGCGTAAATTAAATCATTTTCGAATGCAAATCAACGGCCCAGTTATTCTCGAAATCGAAGAGCGCCACTCCATTACCAGTTGACGCCCGTCAATTTCTCAAATGTTCCATCTGCCGTTGGGGTTAATCACATTAAGAGTCATATTAAGCCGGGAACATCGCGTACAAAATAAGCATAAACAAATGAAAATAATAACATGGTCAGCGAGCAACGAACGGCATTTGGTAATGAGAACGACAAGGCATTATTGAGGAAGAGGTCCAACTGGTGCTGGTGCTGGTGCTGGAGCTTGTCGTCTTGTGTTTTCACCTGATCGGCCCGCATCGCCATTTAGGTTAAAGTTACAGACAAAAAGAAAAAAAAAACAGAAAAAAAGTAAAATAAAACAAATTTA